TACTACTAGTACTACTACTAGTACTACTACTAGTACTACTACTAGTACTACTACTGATAGTACTACTAGGACCTCCTACTTATACCAGTAGTTTCAGCATAAAAATTGTATAACACAACTACCCACTGAACCCAACATGTTCATTAGGATGTTAAGACATGTTCTGCAAAAAACTAGGTCTTAATTGGAGACTTAGTTGCTTTTTTACACCACAATCAAGTTTGCAGTGTAGATTGTGCAGTTTTTTACATGCATTTAACACGCAAAGGACTAAATTTGTACTAAACTGCAAATTTGCAGTTTCGTCCGCGCATAGTCCAGTTGCATTTTGCATTTTCTCCCTTGACTAGAAATAAATTTTTTTTAAACCGGTTGAGTCATTTCGTAAACAAGTACGAGTACGAGTACTTGTACTGAAGAAAAAACCTGCCACGCACCCTTAGGTCTGTCGAGGACGTACGGACGGTACGAGTACAACTGTAATATCGGAATTATTTTGTACGAGTAAGTACGTACGGTACTATCTTACTGTACGTTCGAGTTACCGTACGTTCCATACTTTGTTCGACGATGCGATGCAACTGCAACGACTGCAAAACCAGCAACCACGTTTCGATTGAAGGAAGGACGAGTCCAAAAGATTGTCGGCAGTTTGTGCATGTGTGAAGCGGAAACGTTGTTCGTGGCTCGTCAATTACACCCACTGAATCATCATCTTCCTCCTCCTCGTTGAATGTACGGTACCGTACGGTACGAGTTCGTAACATTAATGTACAGTGCCCCTCGCCTCCGAACCTACAGTTGCGTTCTTGGTACGGTACCTCGTACTCGTAGGGTTAGAAATAGAAATCGTACTCGTATGCCAGTACGATAGGATAGGAGTTCTCATCCCGTGCGTAGGATGCTGTACGGCATGCGTGGACTTGCGCTAGTCGCCGCACATTATTTTGTATCTCTTCCACCAATAATCGGTGAGCAAAAACTCCAGTATTTTTGAGTACGTGCAGTTTGGAAAGAAGGACTGAAAATCCATTGGTTTTCTTCACGAAGAAACCAACAACGAACGAGCAAAACACTACTGGTATCGAGGACACATTTCTGCTACTAGGTACGTACAGCACAGCAGCGTACGAGAACGAGAATCAGTAGTAGTGCGAACGATATTTGCTTCTCCCGGAGGTTGCGTTCGTCCCACCGACATTCGTATTTTCTTTTCCCAGACGAAGAAAATCTCGAATCGTTCGCCGTTCGCCATCCGTGTGCCGATTTAGCTTATCTTGCCCAACCAGCCGGATTGTTGCAAGCAACCTCTGTATCCAGGGAACAGACACCCTCCCACACGCCGACACAACAACAGCATGGCGATACGGACGCTGAGAGTCCTCGGAGATAGTTCTCGCTGCCGGCGTTCCCTGCACCGCGCGTGGACGAATGGCAGAAGCAGCGGCGGCACGGCCCGGGGATTCGGAACCACCCCGGCCGCCAGCGGCAACCGCGGCGACTCCCCGCAACACGATCGGCTCGTCGTGGTTGGCTCGGGGGTCGCGGGAAGCGCCGCCGCGCTTGTCGCCGCCGAAACGCACGGGATCCCCGTCACGCTCCTCTTTGCCGGAAGCGTGCCCCGGGACTGCAACTCGTGGTGGGCCCAAGGAGGAATCATATACAGGAACTACGACCCGGCGTCAGGAGACTCGGCCGAGTCCCTCGCCAGCGACATCCACAGGGCGGGGGCCGGCCTCTGCGCTGAGGATGCGGTTCGAAAGGTCTCCGTGGAGGGCCCCGGTCGCGTCAAGGAGCTGCTTCTGAGCGCTACGGGCACAGCCTTTGCGAACGTCCCATTTGACAAGCGACCGGATGGTGAACTCAGTCTCTGTTTGGGTGAGTAGGCTTTGCTCGATCCGAGTCTCGGTCGTTTTCGACGACCCGAGCAGGGTAGGGGCGAGAAATCGATTCGAGTCGATTCGCCAAGGATCGGGCTCGCCGTTGACCCAATCCCTTTGCATGGCGTGGATCCCGTGCATCGAAGCAACACATTAGCGGTGTACTCGATTTTGCAAACCGCGTGATATTTTTCGCCGCGGGGTTTCTCACACTTGGCTCGCTTTTCTTCACTGTCTTGACGAACCCACCTTATCGACTTCGCATCCCCTGCAGAGGCCTCACACGCAGCTCCCCGAATTTTGCATTACGCCGATCAAACCGGCGCTATCATCACGGACCACATCACGAAGGCCGCCGCCCGACACCCTCTCATTACTATGCAGGAGAACACCATCGTCACGGACATTGTGCGGGAGGACGACCTCTGTATCGGCGTGGCCACGCTGTGCCGAACCACGGGACAGCGTAGCGTCGAATACGCCGCTCGGGGCACAGTGCTGGCCAGTGGTGGACTTGGTGGCATCTACGAGCACTCGACCAACCCGTCGGGCTTCAATGCCCTAGGATCCAGCGTGGCCCTGGCGAAGCGAGCGGGGGTGGCCACGCAGGACCTGGAGTACGTCCAATTCCACCCCACTTCACTGTGCATTCCCAACGAGGCCCGGTTTTTGCTGACGGAGGCCCTCCGCGGCGAGGGGGCGATCCTCCKGGACGCCAACTGCCGGGCCTTTGCCAAGGATTTTCACCCCGACGGGGAGCTGGCCCCGCGCGATATTGTCGCTCGCGGCGTCTTTGCGGAAAACGCCAAGGTGGAGGACGATCCCTCCCGAGCACACAACGCGTTTTTGGACATCACCCACCGCGACCCTGACTGGCTCCACGACCGATTCCCGACGATCCAATCGCACCTTTCGGCACGGGGACTCGACCTGGCCAGGGACCATCTACCGGTGACCCCGGCGGCTCATTATACTTGCGGCGGAATCACCACCGACATGCAGGGCCGTACCAGCCTGGAGGGCCTCTACGCGGCGGGAGAAGCCGCTAGGACCGGCCTCCACGGTGGAAACCGCCTTGCATCGACGTCCCTTCTAGAGGGCCTCGTCTTTGGGGCTGCCGTGGCAGACTTCATTGGTGGTAGCCAGAGGGGGAGGGCACTTGGAGACTTGGCGCGCCAACGGCTGGCAGCCGGCGATACAGCAAGCAAACATCGGCTGGAGACAACAACCTCCCTCGATGCCAAGCAGCAGGAGAGTGTCACCAACCGCGCAGTTCAGCTCCTGGGCCAGGTCCGCCGCATCATGTGGAACCACGTGGGTCTGGTCCGGACCCCCTCTGGCCTCCACACCGCTGTCGAAGCCCTCGGCGATATCTCGGCCGAGGCAACCGAGCTCCACAAACGATTCCCGTGCCTTGAGACGTCTGGGGCACGTGATGCAGCCTGTTCCGGGGAGGGGGTGGCTATCGCATCGGCCTCCAACCCGCGATCGGCTGGAACCCATTTCATGGCCCCCGATTCCGAAGACTTCAGCGATGACGAGGATGACGCAATGGTGGTGGCTGGGAGGTAGCCCGGATGGGACCGTACTGTGACTCACTTTCTGCCGTGCCTGAATACCAGGCCCTTTACTCAGTACAGTACCCATTAAGATACTGTAAAATTACTACTTGAAACATCTTTCCACTATGAAACTTTTTGTAACTAAAATTAATCGGTCTCTCATTGCTCTTTCTATTTGCCGCGGTGCCACTGCGTGGAGCTTCGTTGCTAATCCAAAGTCAAAACCGTGTCTGTCATCCATTGGATATGCTGGTGCACTTTAGAATCCGATTTTACGGTACTAAAGAACCTACTGTATTTTAATATGTCGGCACGTCAAATCTTTCTTTGAAACTAACACAATTATTTTATTTTTCCTACGTAGTAATTTTTCTTTTGTTTTGCGCCTCAGTGGGCGGGTCGGGCGAATCGGACATGAATTTTCTTGATTTTTGTTTTTGTTTTGACACTTCAAATGTGCATTGTCGTTTTAGAACAGAGCACCAACAGTTGCCACGGCACCGGCTGCAGTAGCAACGGCACTCCATCCCGGCAAAACACCAGGGGAAGTAGTCGCATCAGCACTGCCACCCTCGGCACCAATGGAAATCTTAGTCACAAACTTGTGCTCTTCATTATCTGCCTTAAGGCGACGTTCTCCAACAAGTGAGAAGACGGCCAGATCCACATCACCACTGCAAGTAAAATATTGATCACCATTTTCGTATGTTTGAGGGTCGGTGAAGTATGCGTCAACGACAATACTAGTGAATTGGTAATCATCAGTATCAAGAGGTGCCATCGTAGTCAGGAAGTCAGTGTTACCTTCAGCATCGATGAGGGTTCGACCCTTGCATACCACATTGCTGAGGCCTTCAATTTGCACATTATCGTCAGGAGAATAAACACACACAGTGAATGGTTGTCCAAGCTTGTATCTAGTGTCGACACTGCACAGATCTGCGGTAATGTCATAGCCTGTATTCAATTCTTTCTCAGTCTCCACAACCGATACCGAGGTGTCTCCATCCAAATTGACATCAACATTGAATGATCCAAAATTCCCTGAAGCCGTATGAGTGAAGCTTATTTTGTGATTAACAGCATTGATTTGGGTCTGAGATTCAGTTTCCACCACAGACAATTCGATACAGAATTGAGTTTTCGGGGCTTCAGGACCATCGCTATTTGCATCGTAGATTTGACTATTTTCCACATCGCTGACACTAAAAGAAACCTCCCCTGTCCATCGATAAATCGAGGGCAATGCAACAGTTAGCAAAGACAGACAAAGACTACTAAACTTGAAAAACTTGGTCGGTTACCATCAGAACACGAGCAACACTTACGGATACCACTTGCACCTTCAGAACCTGGTAGGCACACTTGTTCATCAGAATTTACATAGGTAACATCTGAACGACTTGAATCTCTGGTGTAAAATAACTCATCTGGGGTGGTGGCGAAATAAACTTCATAAAAACTGCAACTGCCAGTAAGTGTAGTGACAATAGCAGGTACAATAAGATCGCCGGTGCAACTCCCATCATCCGCAACTGCAAATGCACGGGMTTGTGCTGCGGTGCCGTCGGGGAGGTCGAGCTCAAACAGAACTGTCCCTGCAATTGACGATCCTTCTGGTTCACCGACCATAACAGTAGGTCCATCCGTGTTAAGGGGTGGTTCTACGGTAGCTGGACTGTGTACAGTGCTTCGGATCTCCCACGATCCGAGGGGTTCGACAATGGGATTACATTCATCATTACACCAATTTTCAAGCGCAGGATCTAAATTATATGGTTGAGTAGTAGTTGCACATTGGGATCCCGAAAACATGTTATGGGCAAGTCTAATGCCCTGCAGCATGCTGTCGTTTTGGTTTGCATTGTCCTCCACGGGTCGGGTCCACAGATGCCGAAAATTAGGGACGCATTGATTGAATTGGCTATTCCTAAACATAGAATGAGCACTTGAATATGTAACAATCGTCCCCACACTTCTAGTATCCCAAGTGTGGATTGGTTGATTGAATCCAGATTCTGCAAACATATCCGTGAAATTGTCGACCTTACTTGTATCCCAATTATGAAGTGGTTGGTTGAACTGAGGGGAATTTTGGAACATACGCAGCATGATTTCTGCTGAAGAGGTATCCCATTCGTTGAGAGGCTGGTTGAAGTTTGAGATACTACTGAGCATATTTCCGAAGTGTGTCACTTTTCCCGTATCCCAATGGCTGATTGGCCAATTGAAATCAGTGATCCCACCAAACATAGCACCCATATTTACTGCATTGGACACATCCCAATGGCTGACATCTGGGACGAAATTATCCGGATTTTGATTGCCGAAAGACTGTCCAAAATTAGTGACTGAAGAAACATCCCAGCAAGGAACTCTATCCAAGCAAGCGTCCCCTTCTCTCCTACACGCTTGAATCTTCCGTTCCATAGATGGATCATTAGGGAATTCCACTGGAATTGAACCTGGTTCACCGCAAGCGAGCGGGTTAAGTTTGCGATGAAGTTCGCGGGCAAGTTTGCGGCGCGCCCTCTTGTCTTCAATGTCGGCACTGGCAGAACCAAGGACGCAAAATGCGGAAAGGGCAAAAGCCAAAAGCTTCATGATGGGGTTGGCTGGACCTATGGTCGGCGACAGGGGTAGGTTGGGCAACAACGGAATGGAATTGGAAAAACACGATGAGTTGCGAGGCTATCGGATGTTACAAATCCAGGCCTGACATGTTACGTGCAATGCGTCCGTTTCGGTCCAGATCCCTTAGTGTGGCCGCCGTCGGTGACCTCGGTAAGCATCGGTGAGCATCGGAGAGCATCGGTAAGCACCGTCGTCGGTACCATCGTTATACGCGATCGTCGGTACCATCGGTAAACGCGGTCGTCGCCCCAGTCTTCCGGTGTTTGGAGCATGCAGTTCCATGACAGAGGATCGCAATCGAATAACTTACCTGGTCAGTTAGTGGTGTTCTTGTTCGAGAGCTATGTGTTTTGGGATCACACGTTTTTGTTTTGTGAGATGAGAGTGAGGAAAAGAGCGATTGTACTCTCCGAGATTCCAATATCACGAAAAATACAGCAAAATGTACGCGGAAATTTTACGAACCACAATTTTTTGAGAATGCAAAGGAATGCAAAAGTATCGTGACCAAAATGCTTCTGTTCCATATTTCGACCAATGAAAACGATTATTCAGAATATCCCTGAAATGATTAAATGACTCAGGAGGAGAATCGATGACATTTTCGATGGACAAAGGCCTAAATAAAAGACTGAAACGTTACATTTGGTCGCATTGAATTCTATGCAAGATTGGGAAGGCCTATAGATTTTATCTCTAGACAGGGAGACCTAAGTACGTTGGCTCATAGATTTTATCTATAGGTGGGGAGGTTTAAGTATCGAGTGAGTTTTCTTGCCGGAAGTTTTGTATAGTTCGGAGGAATTGTTTAAAGGGATGTAATCGTAATCTTAGACTTCTCACCATCGGGGGGAACTATTGACTCTTGTCATCCGATATTAAAAACAAATCAAACTTCCAGAAGTTCATTCCTGCAAACGAATGACGTATGCAGCTTCCAAAATGCGATCGTACACGTCTCATATTATTGGATGGATTGTTGGATCCGATGGACTGATTGGTTCTGTTTGTGAAATGTAACGTACGGTACGTAAGATAGACTACGTGTAACCTGCGAAATGTAGATAGACTTCTTAGATTACACTAAACAGTGAGGTTATTCACTAGCTACTCGTGATCAAGCTATCCTCATACTGTTTCCTTCTCCCTCCATTCCTTCCTCCCGTTCCGTTTCTCATCGTCCGCTCCGTTCGCTGCCATCGTCTCGTATGTACGGTATGTTTTTCTCATAGTACTGGTCCGTACGGTGCGGGCCGGGGCAAGAATGCACGAACCGGTAGAACGTGCGGAATCATCCATCGAAGGAAGGAAGGAAGGAAGGAACGAACGAATCAATCGTCGTTTAGTACAGTATAAGTGTACAGTACAGTGCTTATGGCACGCACGGTGTACCATACTGTACGTACGTACTCGACAAGCACACAATGTCCCTGCGGTACAGTACTTTACGGTACAGTTCTGTACCGTATAGTACGTGCATGAATGAATCATCCATCCGTGAAACCCAGGGACCGGTCTCGATCGTTCGATTCGATGGATTCGTTCGATCTCCCGGCCGGCGCATCCACGGGCGACGGCGCTGCGTACTTGGTCATGTCGAACAAAGAACCAAACAACAGCAGCGAAGCGACGCGAGTGCAGTGTGTGTGCCCTAGACGCTACCGTACGAACCTACCGTACGGGCAGGGGTCCTAACTTAACGACCCCTCCCTACGGGTCCGTACCGTACCGTACGTAGAGGATCGCATGGGACTCGTCCGGCAGGTAGTAGGCGGCATAGGATACCATGCCGTATCGTACCGATGCGGTGCGGTGCGGTGCGATGCGACGCAATGCGATGCGATGCCGTTCGAAGGAATGGCATTCCTTCCGTCGTCTTGGGTACCAAGTACGGTACGGTACGGATGCGTTACAGTTGCTGCACTGTACGACACGATACGAGTACATTACCGTACCGTACGGCAGCCCTTTCCGATCGAATCCAACAAATCCACCGTGCTTGCCATCCCGAGGCAAAGGAAAGCTCACCAAGGTCGATTCGATTGGATTTGATTCGATTGGATTTGATTTGATTTGATTCGATTGGATTTGATTTGATTTGATTCGATTGGATTTGATTTGATTTGATTTGATTTGATTCGATTCGATTTCGAAGAGAAAGCACAACCGGAACCAAACCACCACGGGGGTTTGCGTCTTGATTCGTCTCGTTGCATTCTGTTTCGTTGCATTCCATCGCATCTTGTCGCACCGCATCTTGTCGCACCGCATCTTGTCGCACCGCAACGATTCCTCCCTCCGACGAACCCGAGCCGGAGAGAGACCCAGCCGCAACAGCGTTCGCCGCAAACGCAAACAAAACCACAAAGAAAACCACAAACCGGAGGAAGGGGAACCCGCGCTCGCACTCGCACTCGCACCCGACTACCCCCGCGGCCTTTGAGGTAGTTCTTCCGGCACGAAACGAACGCGGCAGAAGCAGGCCCGAGAAAAAGCCTGGGAAGGATCCGGGGAGGAACTCTCTGCTCGTCCGCACCCTCGACCGTGTTTCGAGCAATCCCTATTTCAACTGCGGGAGCAGCAGCGACGGCTACGACTACGACTACAGCTACGAGGAGGATTTTCGCAGGAACGTCTTGCTGTCTTGCCACCGAGGGAGCTACCACACCGGAAGCAACGGCCGAAGCAGTGCGAGCCGAAAGACCCACCGCCTCTTTCGGTGCGGAGCCGACACCGATCGCAGCGACTCGGAAGACGACGCCTACGAGTACGATCACGAGTACGATCACGAGTACGATCACGAGTACCAGCACCGGCACCAGTACCATCACGAACACCGGTACGGGTCCTCGGCACGCGACCCGAAGCACCGACGCCCCCGCAAGGGCTCCCTCTACCGCAAAACCATGATGACGGCCGCCACGGCCAACGAGGAGGGAGGCAAGGCCGAGGCTACCGCCACGGCCCAGCAGCACCTCCAGACGACGGCCAAGCTGGCCCGGGGCTTTGCCGACGACGCCGGGAGGGCCATCGGGAACCTCCTGCCGACGGCCTCCCTCCAGAACCTGACGGCCCGCAAGTACACCCTCCCGGACAAGACGGTGGCCTCCCAGGTCCTCATGTACCGGCAGCTCCTGCACACCAAGTGCCGGCCGGGACTCCGGCTCTCCCGGAATTACGAGGGGACCCCCGCGCAGGTGGCCGTGATGCACATGCCCTGGTGGGAGGAGGGGATCGCCGAGACGAAGAAGATGGTCATTTCCTACGACAACCTCCTCCAGAGGCTCTGGCTCCACGGGGCCATCGAGCCGTTCGAGGGTGCCAGTGCCAATGCGAACACCAGTGCGAACGCCAATGCCAGCGACGGGGACCTCCTGTCCCTCGGAGACGGCGCGGACCCGACCCCCGCCGGTCCCCCCGAGCCCCACACCGGCGACAACGGTGTACCGCCGGTCCCCCACCCCTTCTGGGTCGACCGCCTGGGATTCCAGCAGCAGGACCCCGTCACGGACTTTCGCAGCGGGGGCGTCCTCTCCCTGGCCATGATGGTCTACATGGTCGAGTCCCGCCCGGAGGTCTGTTCCCGCTTCTTCGGGAAGACCCACACGGCCTCGGTGCTGCCCTTTGGGATCACCTGCATCAACGTGACGGACATGATCGCCAAGTTCCTCATGCTCGCCAAGAGCACGGACCGGATGGACGCCCTCCTCAGCCAGAAGCCCTTTTGGAAGATGTTTGCCGACCCGAGCGCCATCACGGCCGTCCAGGAGCTGGCCCTCTCGATGCTCTGCGACGTGGCGGCCGAGCTCGGGGAGGAAAAGCGCTGCGGGGGACTGCTCGCGGGCGCTGGACAGCCCGGGCCGGGGGACGAAACGGCGACGACCGAGGTATGTTACGCGGGGCAGAACCGAGCGAAGCAAAGCTTGGCATGCCATAGTGCCACGCTTGTGCCTCCATCCATCCATCCATCCATCCACTCATTCACTCATTCACTCACTCCCTTTTTTTTGTGGTTTGTTTATTCCTTTCTTTTTCTGTGGCACGGCTTGATTCGATTCGATTTGATTTTCGCTCTCAATTCGCTCATTTCCTTCCCACGTCTTCAGGTCACGGTCTTTGACTTTTCGACCATCCTCGAGCGGACCGAGAAACGCGTCCGGGACGACCTTCTGGGGGCGGGACCAAAGACGATCGACGAGCTACGGTCCATCGAGGGCCGCCTCCGACTCCGCTACAAGACCCAGCTCGAGCGCAGGCTCCAGCGGGCCCGGGAGCAGCAGCAGCAACAACAGCAGCGGTCGCAGCCACCGACCCCTTCCGGGGGAGAGGCGGAACCGGGCGAGACCACCCTTCAACACCACCACCAGCAGCAGCTGAAGGACGCCATGGACAAGGCCAGCAGCCTCGCCGGCGGCTTTTTCGCCAGGGTCAAGAGCGGCGTCGCCCACAAGCTCGGCAAGGAGGAGGAAAATTCCGCGCCTGCTCCGGAGGCGACGATCGTCGACCTCCCCCCGGCCGCCGTGGCGAGGGCACCGGCCAGCGGCGGGTCCGACGGGGACTGGACCGGGACCGACATTGCGGCCGCCACGGACGGGATCACCAACTTTAGCATCGGGGACGACGAGGACGACGCCGACCTGTTGCTGTAGGCGCCCCGAGGCGGTGTCTCGGAGCGGGGGGTTCGAGAAGCCCTCGCGACGAACGACACGGCTGGACGTCACCGAAGAGAACGGCGACACACACACATGCACGAACAAATGCACACGACGGAACACGAGACGCCGGTGCCTGGCGCCTTTCTGCTGTTCCGTCTCGATAGAAGGATAAGACGCAAATCTAGAATCTCATAGCACGTTTTATGGATTCGTAACACACGCACACACACACACACAATATTTTGTCGTATTGTATCTGGAAACCCTAGCACCCGATCCCGTTTCAAGCGGTGCGTTCTTTCGGGTCATCGAACGACAGTGATCACAATGCAGGCATTCTTTGGTATTGGTAGTCTATAAAAAAATTAGGGCGGGTTGTTAATGCCGGCTCGGCGTGTTTGGTTTGGTAGTCTCGATTTACGACCCGGCCCGTCCACCCCGTCCAGGGAAACCACCGTGAAAATATCGGAGGTGCTCTGGATGGATTCTCGCGTATTGGAAAGTGCGTGTTTGCGTGTCGGTTGTTGTTGCTCGGGTACTCGTGCATGGAATGGCCGGGTATCGTTGTGCGCGCGATAGCTATGCGATAAGAGGTGCGGCACGCTCCGGTGCAGCGCGGTGCGATCCCTTCTCCTTAGTCGAACCCGATGAACCCCGTGATGCGGAGCATCTCCTCCACCTGCCCCGGAATGCTCACGCCCGTGAATTTCTCCGTGAAGAGGCCGACCGCCAGAAAGAACATGGCGAACCGGCTGTTCAGGAGCTCCGCGTTGCCGACCCACCCGGTGGTCTGGTAGTCCTCGATCTCCTCCTGCTGGCGGACCTTGCGGTACTTTTCCTCGAGGGCGTTCAGGGCCGTCACCTGCTTCGCGAGGGTGATCTCGTCCAGAACGATCTTTCCGGGAACGTTCTCCGTGATCCAGTCGTCGTCCCCGCCGAACTTTGCGTCCCAGTCAAAGTCGCCCTTGATCTCGGGGAGCTGGGGGCCCGAGGAAGCTTCCTCGGCCGGGGCGGCCTCCCCCTCGAAGCCGGTCTCCGCGAAGCGCTTCGTGGCCGCCGTTGCGGCCTTGGCGGAAGGAGCGACAAAGGCCTCCGCGGAAAGGAGGCCGCAGGCGAGCAGGGCGACGGCTGTGCTAGTGGACTTCATGGTGGTGGGCTGGGCAACAAGGTAACTGGTGTGGGTGGGTGAGTGGGTGGGTGTTAGTGTTTGTGTTTGTTTGTGTGGGTGGGCGTTTGCGGGTGCGATGGAGCTGGAGGTTGTACGATCAGCAGCGACGGCACGCAAGAAAAAGGATGTCTTTTGTCGGGGCCTTCCCTTCTTTTGTTTCTACATACAGTGTGGTACGAGTACGTACTCGTACTGCGGGAATGGTGCAAGCAGGCGCGAACCGATGCCCGAATCCAAGGTACGAGAACGAGTACGTACGAAGGCTGTCCGTCTTGTCTAGTTCACCGCATCCCATGGGGGAATGCCGTAACTAACGATCCCCCTGCTTACGTACTACGTACCATACCGTATGACGGTTTCCCTCACGGAAGGTACATACTCGTACGTACTCGTACGAGTACGAGTACTCGTTTGAAATGCACGTGAGATTTTTTGTTGTGACTCATCTTGCCGGGTTCATGAATGATTTTGATCGAAGTGCGTGTTTTTTTCTAGCACGTTTGCGTTGTTACTATCAAAAAATGAGCATCAAGGCGTGATTGTGTGGTCCGACGTCTGACGTACTTACCCAGGGTGCAGAAGGAAGCTCTAAGTATGTACCCCAAGTTATGATTGCGGGTGTATGTCAGACGGATCCGAACCCAATCACGGTCTATGGACCGACGTTTTTACTAACGTTTTCCCCAACCGAAACTTTAGTCTGACATTTTCCAACACTGCAAATGTTCTATTCTACTTCCTGTCCAAAAATGATTGTGGCAATTTGAATGGTTCTTTTTTTATTCTATTGATCTTCTTTAGTACTGTTTGAATGTTTTATGCCTTTTAATGTCATATATTAAGATTGGAATAGTAAGCTTTCAAAGAACAGAGGAGCCCTTAAGTCATGCCATCATTTTGAAATTGTGGGTTGGTGAAAGGGTTGTTGTTGTTCCTCCAACAGTCATTTTGATATGCTGCCGCTAATTGTTGCACAGGTAGTAGTAAGGTATATGCAGTATTTCATAAGGCTATTATTTCCATTGTTAAGGAGAACTTTCTTGTTTGGTCATTTCTTGTTTGAAAGAGGTGCACAGTGGTACCATTGTCAATATTGCATGTATTAGTACTACTAGTAATTGCTGTCCATAGGATATCAGATTGCGGGCACTATGATGCATATCTATGATTCATACTCACTCTATGTTCATGACTCATTTGATCATATGGATCCACACAATTGACTTGGCTTGTTTGATTACTTGATCTTCACTCAATCTTCATTCTTCTGATCAATTTTAGATTTCATCATAGTTGTTCGTCATCAATCCTCCTCGATAAGAGCATTGACTCACTTTTGACCCACCAGTATAAATGCCATACTACTGCCCGTACTTTGTCAAACATCCCCAACACATCTTCAAATCCAGATGCAATCTGTCAATATCACAAAGACCCACAAAATCCATCAACCGGTTTCGTGACTCAAGACGGCTCATATATTGTCGTCCTTGTTGACCTCAGACCGCAAAGCAAAAAGACCTTTAGTCTGAAGCTGTTGCCCCATTGGTAAATGTATTTTGGCAACAGGCTGGCCTACCATCATTGACCTATGCTTCCATCCATGGATGTTTTTGCTTTGCAGGCTCAACCCATTTATACAACAATCAGAGAAAGGCAAGCAAGGTTCTTCTGATGTAACCTCTGCCTGGAGCTGCAGTGCTAGCTTTTGCTGGTTTATGCAGCTTCTACTTCGATTTGGAGCGATTGCATTTGATGATGAAATTTTTCAAAGTTTCTTGGAGATGCTTATAATGTCAACAATCCACCAGCATGTAATGATATAGATAAATTGACAAAGCTTGAGCTTACAAATGTTGCATGGTTTGATGAAATGCATAAAAAGTGTTCTGTTACTAGTCACAATTTGGCAAAATAAAGGGAAACAATCATTGCTTTGGGCACCTAACAATCAACTTCCTGGTTAAGTTCATGGCAACAACAGCACTCAGAAACTCCCAGGGATTGCAAAAACAACATCTGAAAGACTTGCCAAAGCCCCAATTACTACAGTCAGTCAGTTAAAAATGCTCTCTGGAAAACATGGTGCTGAGATCAAACAGATTGCTGATTCAATCAATGGTATATCACACAAGAAAAGACTAGTGCAATTCATTCAAGATGCTCAATCTGTCAGCAGTGAAAGATCACTGAGAAGCAGAGAACCTTTCTTGAGTCCAACCCCAACCCCAAGTCAATGAAAACAGTTGTGGAGAATGAAGGCATAGCAGTAAGAGGTTTTGGGGATCAGCAACAAGGTACTAAGAGAAGAGTACCTGGTGCTCACAATCACCACAGTTCATCTACTAGAAAGTTAGCTCTTGATGACTACCAGGCTGAAGAATGCAACCTAAGTCCAGATCCAAAATTTTCTTGACTGTGTATTTATTCAGAGCAAGCTAGAATTATAAAAGAATCAAGATAACATTTAATTACTTTGTTTAAATAAGTATATGCTTTTGGTTTTCACCAGTACAACTCTCATCTTTGTATCTGGTGACTTGGCAAGTGCAAATTAGTATTTGGCAGCCTTGCTAGCAGTTGCTTTGGATTTCACCAGTACTTCTCTCTTGCTTTTGATACTAGTGCCATTGATGCCAATAACAATATTAGTAGTATAAGTGAAAGTACAACCACCATGTGGAAAATAGAAATAGTTTCAGAAGAAGAAGTACTAGCAGTAGTGATGAAGTAGTAGTAGGTTTAGTACTGAATATACAATGTGTACTGGTATTGCTTTTCTTGTACTACTTCTTGTTTTCAAATTTTATTAATACTACTACTAATATTGATATTGATAACAAGGATATATTATGCTACAGCTCATGCTACAGATATTGATATTGATATTGATATTGATATCAATATCCAAACAGTGATTCCATTGTGCCAATAGAAAGGAATATGTGCTAGGATTAGTGCTAGGATTAGTGCTAGGATTAGTGCTAGGATTAGTGCTAGGATTAGTGCTAGGATTAGTGCTAGGATTAGTGCTAGGATTAGTGCTAGGATTAGTGCTAGGATCAGTGCTAGGATCAGTGCTAGGATTAGTGCTACAACTAGTGCTAGGACTAATGCTAGGACTAGTGCTAGGACTAGTGCTAGGACTGCACTACTAGTGCTACGACTAAGTCCATAAACTGTTTCTGTACCAGTATACACCCATTCATACCCTAAATTTAAGCTTAAAAGTAGCTTTAAAGCTACTTAAAATCTAAAACTTTTAAAGCTACCTTAAATCTACCTTGCGTGGGAAAGGGCTATTCTGATGTGTGTGTTCCTTGCTGTATATATCAGTACCATATTAGGCAATGCATGTGCTGAAGAATGTACTGCTTCTTGTTGTTGTACTAGAGGTATGGTAGTTGGAGCACATAGTTGAGGTCCAGCAGTAGCTTACAGTATCTGGTAATGCGTCATTTTGTAACATCCCTAGTACTGATTCTCTAAAAAAGGAACAATATGAGTGTAGCTGTAGGTGTGGCTGTTGTGGGTGTGATGTGGGTGTAGCTGCTGGTGTATGTTTGCTCATCAAGTTGGGCCCCAAATGGGGATATTTTCTGCTACCCGCAAAAACTATTTGCGTTGGCCCCTGCACCTGTGGAGACGAAGGATGAAAATACCAGCAATGCCAATAAGCCCAGGGAGGCTTGTTGGCCATAAACACAGACTCAGCAACAAGACATACGGTGGACATTGAAGTGTGATGCACAAGAGGAAAAAGACTAACTAACTTCTGAGATGCATAGAATACATGCACTTCTTCTGTGGACAAGATTTGTCGCAAGCCCCCCAAACAAGGTGAATCATCAGAGGATACGGATTTGGATTAGTACAATTTGAATTACAATTTGGACAATTTGGAGGATCCTACTGTTCTGGCCCGGAGGTCTCATTAAATTCACGAAACGTCTTTGAAACTCATCCCCTCTTTACGAATTAACACCCAATGCGATACAGCTTCCCCACACGATACAGCCCCTGTCTTTACGAAGCACAGAACCCTCAAAATGCGCAAGCGATTCCAACTTTCGCCTCTTTACAAAATGTCCGCAATGCTTTGCCTCTTTACAAAACCTCTGCAACGCTCTTCACACAAAAACTCAAAGAATGCCACAAAAAAAGAGAGGGGGACCTCGGTACAGTGGAAGAAAGACAGATCGCAAAAGTGTTATGCTTGTTCAACAGAAGAAAGAACTGAGGAAGAGATGAAGACTGCTTTAATTGAAAAAAATAAGCTTTATCTCCAGTTCAAGTTCAACCTCAACCTCAAGCTATAAGCTAATCAATTGAAACATAAGTAGTACTACTACTATGTGAAAAACAGAAGTAGTACCAGAAAAAGTAATACTAGTAGTTGTTGTACTTTCAGTACTAGTTCTACTACTGATTAACTACTACTACTTCATTTTCTCAAGCTAATTCTTTTTTCACATAGTTGTACTACTCCTAGCTCTAGTTCCTGATATAGCCCTAGCTCCAACTCAAGCTTTACTCTCTCTGGCTCAAGCTTTATCTCCAGCTCAAGCTCCAGCTCAACCTCAAGCTATAAGCTAATCAATTGAAATATTAGTAGTAGTACTACTATGTGAAAAACAGAAGTAGTATCAGAAAAAGTAATACTAGTAGTAGTTGTACTTTCAGTACTAGTTCTACTACTGGTTAACTACTACTACTTCATTTTCTCAAGCTAATTCTTTTTTCACATAGTTGTACTCCTAGCTCTAGCTCTAACATACACACTCATCAATCAATGCTTGGGCTATTATTGTGATGCTTTTGTTTTGGTGCAGTGCTTTTGTATCAGTTAATATGTATCATTGAGTTTGAATAAGTGTGTATGTTTGGTGAGTGTTTATTGGTAGTAGTAACACTAGCTCCAGTGCTACTCTAGCTATAACTATAGCGGACTAAGCTGCAGCTGCAGCTCTAGCTCTAGCTTGCTCTGATACAAATACACCAAGCAATACACCAAGCAATACACCAAGCAATAGCTTCAGCCTCAGCTCCAGCTCCAGCTCCAGCTCCAGCTCCAGCTCCAGCTCCAGCTCCAGCTC